CTGCCCTAGAAGAGTTTTCCATGTCCTTCAATTGTCAGGAACTCTCTGACCTTTGTTTCCATTTCTTTAAACATTGCTATCTCCTACCAACTGGCCTGAACTCTCCAAAAAAGTCAATGTCATGAAAAACAAAACCAAAATGTAGGTGGGCTATGGGAGATTAAAGGAGACTAGAGCTATAATTGAATGTTAAGTGTGAAACTTGATTGGATCCCGACTGAAAACAAAGGTATAAAATAAATTGTGTGTGTGTGTGGGGGGGTGGGAGTGGGGGACAAATGAAGAACTTTAAATATGGATGTACTAGGTGATATTGAGTTAATGTTAATTTTCTTAGGTGTTAATGGTGTTATGGTTATGTAGGAGGATGGTCCTTATTCTTGGGAAATGCATGCAGAGGTCTTTTTCAGTCCATAGGCCGACGCTCTATCCACTGAGCCAAACCGGTTAGGGCCAGAGGTCTTCTTGATTTCTGGAATTTACTTTCAGATGATTCAGTGAGAATAAAAGTGATTGTGCATCTTGAAGGCGATGGCCATTCTTTTAATTTTTCAAAAGGTTCAAAACCTATGAAAAGCGGGTGTGGAGGGGGCGTCTTGCTCTCTAGCGTGATATGGTTAGGTTAGGGCCCAACATTGTGCTGGGAACTTCCTAGCAGCTCAGACACTTACTCCAGTTGCCCGGAAATAGAAAATCACAGTGGGAGTCCTTTATGCTCTTTCCCCTTTCTCCTCTTTACTCTCTCAGTTCCTCCTTGAGGAGAATGCACCTGCAAGAGGCTTCTGTCCCTCGGCGCTCCCCGTAGGTCGGAAAGCCCTCATTGGCGGGGTGCGCTGACGTCTTATTGTGCTGCGACCGCACTGCCCGGAGGAACGCGGTGCGGGTCCCGAGCTTTGGCGGTGCCCACCCGGGGTTTGGCACCGATGGCCCAGAAGCCGCTGCGCCTGTGAGTGGCCCCGGATCGGAAGCCTCTGGGTGTGCGTGTGCGCTCACGTGGCTGCCTGCGGGGGTGGGCG